AGAATGGCCTTTACCATCCATATTTCTACCTGTATTCTATTCACAACCACTTAGTATTCTCCAGGAAGATGGAGGCTCTCTCTCCAGCTTGCCTCTTTTCTTTCTGAGCGCTCACCAGAATCGCCTTTCCGTTCACAGCAACGCAGGCTTTCTCTAGAATGTATCTCAAAACTTCCAGCCTCTGCCCACCACTAAGTTCCAAAGCCACTTCCACACTTTTAGGTATTTGTGACAGCAGCACCCCCACTTCTCAGTACCAACTTCCTGTCTTACTCCTTTGGGCTATAACAAAATATTATAAACTGCGTGGCTTATAAACAACAGACATTTATTTCTCACATTTCTGGAGGCTCAGATTTCCAAGATTAAGGCACTGGTAGATTCAGTGTCTGGTGAGAACCCCCTTCTGGCAGTGTCCTCACATGGTGGAAGGAGTGAGAGAGGTCCCCTGGGTCCCTTTTATAAGGACACCAATCCCAATGATGAGGGCTCCACCCTCGTGACCTGATCACCTCCCAAAGGGCCCAACTCCAAATACCATCACAACAGTGATTAGGATTTCCATATATGAATCTTGAGGGGGACACAAACACTCAACCCATAGCACTGAGTTAAATCACCATGGACACAAGATTCAGAATTCTTTGGAAATCCAATCCTAAATAAAATGAATCTTTGGACCAGATAATTGGTCAATGGAGGTTCTCAGAAAATAATCAACCATCATTGCAGTTATCAAATGAAAGAATAATTTTTTCATGCCACTAAATATAATTTAAGTATGAATCATTACACAAAAGCAAATTTTTTATAGCTTTTTATTAAATACTGAAATGTCTTATTTTTTATTTTATTTTTTTTGTAAGGAAGATCAGCCCTGAGCTAACATCCATGCTAATCCTCCTCTTTTTGCTGAGGAAGACCAGCTCTGAGCTAACATCTATTGCCAATCCTCCTCCTTTGTTTCCCCAAAGCCCCAGTAGATAGTTGTATGTCATAGCTGCACATCCTTCTCGTTGCTGTATGTGGGACGCGGTCTCAGCATGGCCGGAGAAGCGGTGCGTCGGTGTGCGCCCGGGATCCGAACCTGGGCCGCCAGTAGCGGAGTGCGCGCACTTAACTGCTAAGCCACGGGGCCGGCCCCAAACGCAAATTTTTAAAAAGAGAAGGCCAGTGGGGAAGAGATGTAAAACCAAATGCCTTAAGGTGACAAAACTTGGTAGTAATCCATTTCTTGAGATGTTATAGATGTAGGTTAGCACATTGTTCATGAACAAAGACAGGAAGTAAAGGGTTTAATGAAGAAAATTTGTAAGAAAGGGTGAACCCTACTCAGTCTGCAGAAAAGGAAGTTGTGATTGAACACAAAATTTCATGACAGACTCATACGGGGTGCTGATCAGTAATGTGTGTGGCTTATTATCTTATTCTCTCATTATTTACTAAATATTGGGTGCATTCGACATGCACTTAGGGCTTTCCTGTTTAAAACACTTTTACATGCTTACAGTTGAGAAAACTGGGGCTCAAACATAAGTACAGTCATGCACTGCATAACGACGATTCAGTCAACAACGGACCGCATATATGACGGTGGTTTCATAAGATTAGTACCTTATAGCCTAGGTGTGTAGTAGGCTATACCATCTAGGTTTGTGTAAGTACACTCTATGATGTTTGCACAATGATGAAATTGCCTAACCATGCATTTCTCAGAACGTATCCCTGTTGTTAAGCAACACAAGACTAGTCCATAAGGATACTATCTGGAAATGAGTGACCTAGAGATGAACACTGGGAGATGCACAAAAAACAAGTAATAATCCAAGGGAATATTAAAAACAACTTAAAGTACACACACACACACCTAAGCTACAGGTTTCTAGTTGGATCTTCAGGTTCATAGTAAATATGATACCTATAATAAAAGGTAGCAGTCAGCTGATGGATAACGAAAAGCTTGGCATTTAAAAAAAATCTAATTAGTAAGAGAATAAATGAGTTAATGATGAAAATCACCAATATTTAGTACTCTCCCACATTCCTTGACTGGCTACCAATTGCTGCTTGGCATACTCTACCTCTGGTTTCAATCTCTTTCTCTCATCTACAGAATCTCCAGATAGCTGAAAGTAAACCCATGGCTGTGTGATCAGAGCCCGGTATGTAAAGCTTCCGGAGACTTGAGTGACACGTTGTGGAGCTGCTTCTACTCTTGGCTTTGGGAACCCCCTGTCTCCACCGGAAGTAAGCGGAAGGACCGGTAGGCGGCCTTCTTCTCTCCCTCCTCACTGACCTAGACAGTCAGAAGGACCACCCCACATGGTACCACCCCAGACAATGTTCTCCCACTGGCCTCTTCTTTCATCAGAACACACAAGCTTGATAATGTCACTACATACGGGGGGGTTTCTTTGATTTTCCCTCCATGCTTTTTCTTTTTCCCTTGTCTAGTTTTCACCCAGTCTTACTCTTTTGAACTAAATGCTCCATGAGTATTCCAGGCACATATTTCATACATTTTTATAGCCGCCATCTGCTACCAAGGAACTATCCATCCTTCCTCTTTTTGGTTCTGAAAAAGGTTAGAGCTTTCTACGAAACATTTGAAATGCTTTCTGTATAATCTAGGATAGATGTTAATTATTCAACTATTCTCCTTACTAGGTATTACACATTTGTGTCAACTATTTCTCTTCTGTTCACTGAACTCAAGTAATTACACCAATTGCTGAATAGTTACTATCCAAAACAAAGCAAATCAGAAAAAATCACGTTTACTTACTGCAATAGTTTGCTATTGCTGCCATAACAAATCACCACAAACTTAGAGCCTTAAAACAACACAAATTTATGATCATGCGGTCTACAGGTCAGAATCTGGCATGGGTCTCACCAAGGCAAAACCAAGGAATTCGTTTCCTGCTCATCCAGATGTCGACAGAATTCAGTTCCATCTGGCTATAGGACTGAGTCCCCTCTGCTTTGCTAGCTGTCGGAGGGGAGCAGCCCTTAGCCTCCAGAAGACTCTGTGCTCTCCTCGCATGAGGGGCTCCTACATCTTAGAACCAACAACGGTGCATGGAATCCAGGAAAGATCTCTATTTTTAAGGACTTATGCTTAGTGTCGGTCCACCCAGATAATCCAGGATCATCTCTCCATCTCAAGACTCTTACCTAAATCTCATCTATAAAATCCTTTTTACCAAGTAAGGGAACATCTTCACAGGTGCTGGGGATTAGAGTGTGGACATCTTTGGGGGCCGTTATTCAGCCGACCACATTCATTCCCACATAAAAGGAAGTGAGAGGAGGTAATGTTATCCACCGTGTGGTGTAATCAAGCATAATGTTTGAGACCTGGACTGTAGTCCCAGCTGGGCCACTAACCAGCTGAATTATTTTGTCCAGGTCATTGAATGTGTAGGATCCAGATTCTTTGTTCTTTTCTTTTGTTTTAATAGATGCCACCTGACTTCATTTATTTATTCTTTGTATTCATTCACTGAATACATATTGATGGAGCTGGCACTGTACCAGGTGCTAGGAAAACAGCAGTAGACAAAACAGAGCAATCCCTGTCCCCTTGGAGCTGATGTTCTAGTGAAGGAGGGCAGATAACAAAAACTAAATAAATAAAGCAGTAAAATATGGAGAATGCCGAACAGTGATAAATAAATCAGGATGGGATAGAGGAAACATCAGGGGCTCTGCCAGTGTAGATGGAATAGTTAAGGGCAGACTCAATGAGAAGGTAATGCTGTGGGGAGAATTCTCCTCTTGTTTAATGACACACAGTCTTGTTCCTATACAAACCAAAAGGGGGATACCATCCTATCACAAGCCTTATGTATCTGAATGGGGCATTGACAATTTGTGACAATTCAGGCATAGATTGACCAACTTCTCCCTTATATTTTGCAAGTCTATATAAGGTTATAGAAAAATGCCTTTTTCTAAGACAGAGAGACATTAATTTATAAGTGAGAGACTGGCGTAATCGGTACACTGAGTAAAAATATTCTAATCTCTTAAGTCATAAAGTAATTTTACTTGTCAGTTCAACATTTCATTAGGTATTTCAAATTATATCATTCAAATGTGAAATTTGAACAGTAAGATTCAATAGTAAAAATCAATGCATTTATCATCTAATTCAGGCGGAACTTTTACCACTCATTTTCAACCCACCACCATCTGCTGTATCCAAACACACGTTCTCCACATTACCTGAAGCTTCCTATGATTTCCACAAAAGGAAAAAGAAAGAAAAAATTGCCCAGCTTTTCTAAGAAAGGCACAGCACACCCTTCCCAATTTACAAATATGTCTGGTATTATGTTAAAAAGTGCATTGCTATTTGCAAATCAGTCAGCTCAAGTATTTCCCAGCGATCATGAATTCTCAACCAACTGACTTTCAAACGCATTTGGATAGAAAGGCCTCAAAACAAAATGGAAGAAACGAAACGGAACATGAGATTGAAAAGTTAAGAGACCTGGAGTCCAGAGTCGTTTCCCACTGGCAATCAGCACAACCTTGGGTATGTCACATGAAATCTTTCTATCCATTGCTTCTGTTAAAAACACAATAAAAGGGCAGTACTCACACCTGTCTTGATTGACAGAAGGACTGCGGAAGGATTGAATCAGACAGTATGTGTACAAAGTCTTACATAAACTGCAGCGTATTAGCTCCATAAATTTAAGGAATTGTTATTTCCACTAAACTGCATCAGCGACCTGCTTCACAGAACAGCAAGAACATCATGAGAAAAACACTGAAGAGCATGGGGGCCTCTGGAGTCGCATGTCTTGAGGTGGCCTCGGAGGGATACTGGTTGGTCCATCCATCAAACACACAATTTACTGAGCACTTATCATCTATCAGGCACGAAATGAGATGCTAGACCTAAGGAACGTGGCGATGCTCAGCGCTTGTGAGAACTATTTAAATCAGCACTTGCTGATTTCCTCCAACGTGAAATGCGGCCCTGTTACCTTAATGAGGTCTTCCCTGGAGGGAAAACTTGAGACTAAGTAATTTTCTCCAGTCTTGGTGTTGGTGATAGACACGTACAGTCGGTCGTGGGCCAGCTCGTGAGCGTTGGAGGGGAGAATCGACTCCATTCCACCTCTAAAGAAGAAAAAGCGACCCGCGTGATTCACCTTTAATTATTGAACGCCTTGTAAATATTTTAGAAGAGAGAATACTAAGCTGAGTTTGCCACAGTTTATACAGAGTGTCCTCAGCATGCTGTCTTCACACACTGTGGGGGGTAATGGACTATATATATACCTCAATCGGGCCATGAAGTCATAGCCGGGTGTCACTGCCCCGAAAGGCTGCCCTCGGACTTCTTCGGCAAACTTGTAGGTAAATTCGTTACATTCCTGGAAAAGAAAATGAATAGGTGACTCTATGTTTTGTCAAGAAAATTCATTCTAGTTCCAGAACTCTTCACCAATCACACAACGCACCTGGACTCTATAAATGCAAGGCCAGACTTGGGATGCCACACTCCACAGGTGTGAGAATCCCCACCTGGCCTGGTCTTCACCCATCATTCCTGGTACCCAGGCAAGCTGTGTGTTCTTACAATGCCACTCTCTTGTTTTCGCTTTTAAAATCACTTCAAATGGCACTGCCCATCTTTGGAAAATCCTTGAAGGCTCAATTCCAATTCTAATGTAGCACATTCTTCTACAGATTTCTCCAACACAATTAACCTCCTCTCCCACCCCAATTCTGAGGCCTCAGAAACATTTCCATCTCGGCTCTGCAACAGGGCTGGTTATTAATGACAACACCAACATCAGAGAAAGGGGTCGTGATGACTACCGTTTGCATGCACTGCATCAGAGTCTTTGGAGACCAGTCTTGGGCACTGATATTTTGTAAAAGTCCCTCAGGGGGCTCTAAGAGACAGCCAGGGATGGAATCCACTGATGAGGCCCCTGCCAGCTCATCTTCACATAACCCTGCAAGATGGGTGTAATCATTGCACTCGACAGGTAGAGAGCTGAGGCTGGGAGAGATCAAGAATCTTCCCAATATCTCATCAAAAATCACTACCAGAGGCAGGATTTGAACCCAGGTCTGTCTTTCATTTATTAATGAATTCATGCCTGCCTGGCATCAGGCCCTGGGCTAGGCACTGGGACTCAGCCAAGAATGAGACATAAAGAGCCCCTGCCCTCCTGGGGCTTAGGAGTGCCTCAATGAGAGATCACAGAATGCTGTGGGAGCACCCACGTGGGAGGCAGAATGAGGCTCCTCCTTCCCCCAGACGTCCACAATCCAGTCCCTGGAACCTGTGAATATGTTCCCTACACGGCAAAAGGGACTTTGCGGGAGTGATTAAGGATTTTGAAATGGGGAGATGACCCTGGATTATCCAGGTGGGCCCAATGTCATCAAAAAGGTTCCTATAAGTGAAAGAGGGAGGCAGGAGCGTGAGAGAGACAGAGAGATGTGAAGATGCTGTGGGGGATCAGAATTGGCCACCCCAAAATGTGTCTCTTTGGCTTGACTATTTTTAAGGGCCAAAGACTCAGAAAGAAACTTTGACCTCCCCGCTAACTGCCTAAAAGAATTTAAGATAGAAGGCCTGTTCCAGGAAGGAGCTAATACCAAGTATAATATAAACTAGGTGTGGCAGACAAGGAGGAACCTAACGAGGGCTTTTTAATCAAAGTCATCTCCATTTCTCATTCTTTTCAAGGCACAGTCAACATTTGTTTACCAAACATTTGCTTTTCCATCTCCAAGTGAATTGCCTTCCTCCCCTTTGAAGTCCCAAACCACTACCCCCAACATCCTCCTTTGTCTTTAGCTGAAGATGGTATTTAAGGTGGTGGCTTCTGCCATTTTGTGAGTTACTCAGTTTTCCTGGGTTTTTGCGATATATACATGTTATTAAACTTTGATCTTCTCCTATTATTCTGTCTCATGTCAATTTAATTTTTAGATCAGCCATAAGGACCCAGAGGGTAGAGGAATTGTCTTCCTCTCCTACAATGCTATAGTTAGGGCTTTAAAGATGGAGGAAGGAGCCATGAGCCAGGGAATGCAGGTGGCCTCTAGAATCTGGAAAAGGCAAGGAAACAGATTCTCCTCGAGAGCCTCCAGAGGGACCACGGAAGTCCTAACACTTGGATTTTAGGCAGTGAGACCCTTTCAGACTTATGACCTCCAGAATTGTAAGAGAATAAATGTGTGTTGTGTTAAGCACTAAGTTTATGGTCATTTATTGGAGCAGCAACAGGAAATAATACAGTGAGCGTCAACTTCCAACTTCAGAGGTCACCAAAGATTCACTCCAACATGACATCTAGGCTGAGACCTACAACATGAAGACGAGTCGGACAGGAGACAGAGGTGGAAGAGGACAACAGGCAAAGACAACAGTGAGCACCCAGAGAGCAGCAGAGACCTGAAAGGCACCCTCGTAGTCACGAGAGCACACAGGGCCTGTGAGGCAGGCTGGGAAATCCCGACCCCACCCCAAGTTGACAAGGAGCCCTGGAGTGTGGGAGGGGGACGTAGGGGAGTGAGATCATTAGACGTGTGTTGGGTAAACTCAGTCTAAGTGCTGTCAGGTGGGCGGTTCGTAGGCCGAGGGGGTAGATGCAGGAAGGAAGCTACTGTAAGCTTCTAGGTGACAGAAAGGGGTGGCCCCCCAAGTGCTTGCTCTTTCTCCGAAGCTAGACTGCCCACTTAGCTGCTTTTCCTGTATTAATTTTAGTTACACACACACATCTCTGGCCAGACTGGAAACTTACTAAGGAACGGCTTTACTCATCTTTGAGCTCCCCACTGTGCCTAGCCATGCCTTGCAAATTGTGAGGGCTGAGCTCTTAACATGTCAACGTCTCAATTTGCCCACCGCCTAAAATACGCCTGGCGTCAGGTGCTCCTCTTAATTATACAAGCGTAAACTCGGAACTAGATTAATTACTCCCATATTTGTCCCAACACCGCAAAGCTCAAGGAACTTACACCATCAGCAAGAATTGAACTGACAGAGATTTGAGTAGGTGGTTTGCTAAAAAGATTCAAAGTGATCCTACGAGTGGTATATTTCAAATGCTACAAACAAAAGAAATAAAATAACCTCAAATCAAATGGCTGAAGATTTATTTTGAAAAAGGAGAAATGAGGATGCCCTAGGTGAATAGAGAGAATCTTTTTCCATCTTCCAATGTGAGCACCCAGTAAAGACTTACCCTCTATGTTGGACCAACATAATTAGATAATACAACTGGGTCTTCAGTTTATTGAAAAAATAAACAAGAATGGGTAACCCGACTTGAAAATATGGTGATATCAAGTCTCAAATTCAGGTAAACCATTCAATGTCTGAACATCACAGAATTTCAGTTAAGTGGCTGTATTATCTCAGTATTTCCAAATCACGTTAATTTGAAATCACACTTGATACATTTCCACAGCTGCTGAGGATTCAAAACCAAGTCTACCCAACTCCAAAGCTCAGGATTCGCTCCCACCTAAAGGAAAGACCACACTAAACAGGAGGCAACGACCCCTTACCAGCCCCCTGCTTCTGAACGGAAACAAACTTCTGCAAAGGAACTAGCTTGCAACCCAAACACACGATTCTGCTAGTTTTGGGAGAGTTTTCATACTTTATTACACTTTCTCTGATTTCAGGTTCTCATGCTGTACAGTCTCTAAAGTTTTTTATTTTTTTTTAAATTTTTTTTTTGTGAGGAAGATCAGCCCTGAGCTAACATCCATGCTAATCCTCCTCTTTTTGCTGAG